GAATAGTGGCGCAAACTGGATATCTGATATGAAATATACAAAATTCACAAGTGATTATGTTTTAACACTTGGTGGTGCAAGTGTATCTTAAAAATCCTCTAAGTAAACATATATTGCCAGATCCACAAAGGAATCTGAATTTATTGCATTAGATAAAGAAGGAAGGAAGTTGAGTGGCTTTGAAAATTTCTACAGGATATTCTAATATGGCCTAAACTTATTCCAACAATCTGTATACATTGCGATAGCCAATCTGCAATTGGTAGGACACAGAGTGACATGTATAATTGTAAGTCTAGACATATATGTCGTAGACATAATACCATTAGGCAATTGCTCTCAAATGAGATTATTTTTATTGATTATATAAAATCAAAGGATAATCTAGCGGATCCACTTACTAAAGGTTTGATGAGAGAGCAAATAAATTGCATATAGAGGAGAATGAAACTAAAGCTTATGACACAAGAGTTACCTTAAGGGCAATCCAACCTAGTTGACTGGAGATCTCAAGATCTAGGTTCAAAGGGACAACCAAATTATGCGTGATTCAAAAGAAGCACTAAGGAGATATTCTCTCCTATTTATTCTTATGATAAACTAGTGTTGTCTGCAGAGTCTATTAGGATAAGCTATGCTTTTAATAACTTTTATACCTTGAAAAATCCAAGTGGTATATTGTAGGATATTCCTAATAGGAGTCACCTATATGAGTGTGAAAGGGTTGCTTCTGTGAGAATTTATAAAAGCTGAATTCTCTAAAGCACTCATAAAAATCAGGAGTTGTTCATGACCAAAATGAACACAATATGAGAACCAATTGTGTTAGGAAAGAGACTGTGTGAAGTCTATTCGATCTGATTTATCAAATAGCTGAATAGTTCAACACATTACGTTCACTATTTAGCTGATAAATCCAATGGGCTTTCACTAGGGAATGTTCAAGGCTAAAAGCTACTTATCTCGATGCACGATCTTTTCAAATATGTACTCTCTATAGTGTATCAGCATTATCATTTGCATACTAATAGCCAATTTTTCATTCATTTGGGAGATTGTTGAATCAAAATAGTTACACAAAATAGTTTCTTAAGCGTAAAAACTGAATTTTTGGTCGACTATGAGCCTAAATTAAAGTGAAGCCCATTCGTTGTTTTGAGTAAACTTTTGTGGGTTCATATTCTACTCCATGAGGAGAATAATGTAGTATATTCACTTGCTCAAATTGAGTAAAAAATGAATAAGAAAATAAGCTTCAAATATAAAAATAGAAGTTATGCAATGTAAAATTTGATATAAATCCTATATTGGTTGAGAAATAAGTTCTACATGAGCATATATAGGCCAAATTTGCTATATGAAATTAGGCCCCAAGGGGTACCATAATTTCATGAGCGGAATAAACGCCTACATGCTTTCCATTCTACCACAAACACGCACGCACCACCCCCTCCCCCCCGGCCACCACACCACGACCCAACCCGTTCGGGTTGGGCTCGAGTACGAGTGTGGATGTGGGTTAGACCAAGCCTTATCTTTTTTGGAGAAAATTCGTTTAATTAATTGGACGTGAATTTCTTAATCTGAAATTTAATTTTGATATCCATTAGATCGCGCATTGATTCAGATTTTTTGCTTCCCTCTAGTCCGAAATTTGAGTTGTGTCTGTTCATAGAGAACAGTTATACAAGTGATGTCTTCTGGCTACATGTGACAGTTGGGTTGTATCTGTTCAGATGGTGACTATCCGGATCATTTTTGCATCCAATACATTCTTAGTCATTTAAGGCAATCTCATACATCATTAAGACAGTCTGAATTTGGAGAGTACATAACACAGTTTTTTGTTTGTTTGGCAAGTAGATTTGAGTGCTACTTATACTCGTATGAAGATCATTGTATCCTAAGAGGCAAACCCTTTATATTTCATAAGCATCGTGAGTGGGGGCAAAATCTCTCTTAAGGATATAGAGTCAAACACAAGCATTTATCTACTTAAAGTTCAATAACAGTTCATGTTCTGCAACCAGATTAGTATTTATATTGTTTAAACAAACAGTTACACATAACTGTTTCGGTAAGAATACTATAACTGTTTCGTTAATTCTTCTGTAACTGTTTCAATTTTTTGTGCAGCTGTTTTGCATTTAATTGTTACTGTTTTACATTTAATTGTTACTGTTTTATTATATATTACAAGTTTCAAATCAAAATTTTCAATAATTAATTTTACTATATTTGAAATACCACAAACAATAGATTCTAGTTTAAGTTCTAGAGTCTAAACACCTTTGAAATCTTCCTATTCGAATTAATTAGGTGCTCATTTGTTTAAGGTTAGCCAATTCAAAATGAGAAGAGGAAGGTGAGTCTTGGGGGTGGGACAATAGTATTTAGCAGGATCATACCCATATTATTCTCCTTGGACCCCCACCGCTGATTTATAACTTTCTTTAAGCATTATCACTTTATAAAGTTCTCCAACATCCCCATATCATTCCACTGCCTCCGTACAAGAGAGCACAAACTCATTGATTAGTTTGTCTGAGAAAGTAACAGGATTAGATTGGACTGGACTTGACTATGCTTCTAAAAAAAAATTCGTACCATATCTTTATAATTATTTTAAAAAAAATTATTATTGTGAGTTATTTATCATATTTATTTATGAGTATTTTTATCAATATAATAATAATTTTTTTTATTTGGGACAAAAAATTATTATTTTTGTGAATAATTTATCATATTTATATTAATTTTTATCATAATTGTAATAATTATTTTTTCTTTTTTTTTTTGTAGTACTCTGACCAGATGGATTACAATTCATTCCCTGGGGAAATGGACCCATTGTAGGTTGTCCAAGTACCTGTGACACCGGAAGTATTATTAGTCCATCATCATTTAGGACCACAGATAAATTTTAGTATGATAGTAGTAGTACCACATTTTTTTAGCGTACATAGGCCCCCAAACTACTATAAAGAGTATCGATGTTTCCTTTTTTTTTTTTCTATGCTTTTTTCGAATATATTTTTTTTTCAATTTGGTTTAAGCATAATACTATGTTTCCGAGTTCAACTTCTACCTAAGAAAATTGAAAAATTAATGATTAATGAGATCAAGTTTCGAGTCAAAAATGTCAAAATTACCATTCAATATGTTCAAAAATTTTCATAAAATCGTAGCTTGGCCTTTTTTGGTAATAGTTTAATCTTATTTGATCATAATAATCAACTTTCGATATCGGAAAGTAATTTATAGTTACTACTCTGTTTATTTGGAATTTAGCCCATGAATTGAGTTTTGTAGGGTTCACAAATATAATATTAAGTGCATAGTTTATTTGCAAACGTATTTACCCTTTTATCCTTTTAGAGTCAAACCTAAAGTTCTAACTCTAAGGGCTTGTTTGAATGAATATTAGGGGAGGTTTGAGTTGATTTTTTCAAAAATTTTTAAACTTAAATCCCTCTTTCTAAAGATAAAATTCATCATTCAATCCGGTTCATACCTATGTTTGATATACAACACATACACATATATGACTCACAAATATATCATAATTATTAATAACTATTTGTCTTGTAAATAATTATTTTATCATTGATCAACCCAACTTATATTCATGTTAAGGGGTACAATTGTCTTTAGGTCCTTAACCCCGGATCCATCTTTTCAAACTCACCCACCTCTTAAGTTTGACGAAACTCATGATCATGAGTTTAATCATCGGGCCAACTACGGATTAGGTTTGAAAATTTGAAAGTGATTTTTTTATACAAACATGAAATTTAAGGGTTCTTTAGACTATTTTCTCCAAATTCATCTTATCAAACTTACTATACCCCGTACCAAACAGCCCCTAAATATTATTAAGTTACAATTTAAGAAAAGTCTAAGGTACCAAAAAAAAAATATTTTGTGGTTTATTTTCACAATTTTTAAGAATCCTTTACAAATCAAAGTTTTTTTTACCAATCGACATGAATACGTTAGATTTTTCCTGTCTACTCAAGATGTGTCGTTGTGAGCCAAGAAGAACATCTATATCCGTTGAGCTGTGATGTTTGGTTGTTTTATTTAGATTGCCGACTGATTCCTTGCACTTTTACATTATTTCCAACAATGATATACCACTTTTTCCCCCCCAGCAATCCACACGAATCTTTTTCTCTGTAAAGTGAAAGCTACCCCTGCGGTCTTTCCACCATCAAACTCTGTCTCCTCCTACCAATGACCTTGCGAGGTGCACCAATATGGTTATTCGAATTTTAATATGATATTAAAAAATATTTTTTTATTACTATATTTTATTTATTCAATCAAAATACAGCACGTGGAAAGATTTATTATTTAACTATTTTAGCTTAATTTATCGTATACATAATTAGTGATTGTAAATCACCTCAATTTAAATCAGCGATGTAGATTTTTTTTTTTTTTTGGTACGATATTAAAATTGTAAGTTTTGGTACCATATCATTGCACCCTCCATTCATATCAAGATTTTTTTATCAAATCTTTCTTGTCAACTGAATGGAATGGTTGAAGTTATGCGTCCCCTGCAATTTTTTTGAGTGAAACCTATTAATTATTGATTTGATCATTAATATTAATAGAATTTAATAAAATATTTAGTATACAAATTCAAAATTTTACGTGTTATATACATTACTTTTTTTAATAGAATTTGTTAAGAAAAAATTTAGCTTGTGGACCACGAAACTTGATTTTTTCGAAAGAAAAAATCTGGGAAAATATATGATAAATGACAATTATTCATTAAGAATTTAAAATATTTTGTTAGTGATGTATTCTACTTGACACTGTCACGTAATGTATTAAACCCACACAAAAAAAATTTCCAATTCTAGGTATGATGTGTTTATTTTAAGAAAACTTACTATCTACTATAGTCTATGTAATTAATAAGCCAACAATACTGCTACACATACCAAATAATTTATCAAAATTTTTTGTCAAATCAAATACAAATCATCACATTCAATTGATAAGCATTATCAGTAAACAATTTGGTACAAACAATGTAATTCAAATGCCACGGCCTGATTTGGTATTTGTAGAGTAATGTTTCTTAGACCAAATTTGCTAATCAAATCCTTCGCTGTCGTTAGATTAGCATTGGGTCGGTCCATTGGTAATCCAACTCCAGCAATGAATTTGAGCAACAAATTTAGTCAACTATTACTCATACCATAACTACTCCAAGTACCTTTATTGCTCTCACAACATACGAACATAACAAATAATTGTTCATTAACGAACCTAACTTCGCTCCTCCCACTAACTTTCTCCCTCACATCATTGCTGGAATGGCATCATACCCTCTAAGCTTTGATCTCCACTGCTCCCAAATGCTTCAAACAAGACATTGTTGTCAATGATAGGCATCAAAAGCTCATCCTCGAACAAGAATGGTGAAGTATCGATAGCCAACGGAGGAGATTTTATGTCACAGAAGTAGCTTTTAATGTCTTCTATCCAAGGATATGAAACAGTACTTCCACCATCTTCATTTTTAGTCAATCCCTCTCCTTTGCCATTGGTACTGTTCTCTTCGTTTTCTTTGTGAATAGGCTCATAACTTGGTAATGGGTTGTACTTTTTGTTGTTGGGATCTATGTTAGTTTTTTCGCCTCGGGGGCGTCTCTTGTTCAAATGGGTATTCCAGTAGTTCTTCACTTCATTGTCTGTCCGACCAGGAAGCCGACCGGCAATCAGCGACCAGCTATGGAGAAGAAACAGTTAAGCTACCGTTTCGTAATGCCTTTTCTAAGTAATTTTCTTTAAAACAAAAAACAATTTCGTCAAAAATGTAAAAGCATGCTTAATTACTATTTTATAAAAGTAGTCTAAAATCATTCTAATACAAAAATACTATACTTTTAGACATTTATACATGATTAAGGTTATAGAAACAGTGCGGCCAATCCCGGATTGTTCGAATTATTGTGTCCAAAACTAGCTCAATTAATTGAAAACTTGAAAATTTGAACAATCATGGGTTTATAATCTTGGGAGTTACAATTACCTGAGAAAAGATATCTCAAGCTAAGCTGAATCTACATGAGAATTTAATCATAATAGGATTTCTCGAGTAGAGTTTGAGAAATTTGGTGAGTTTATATGTCCCAAGGAACACGAGTTCAAATTTCACCAATGTTTTACAAAATTATATTTGTATTTAAAGACGAATTCAGAAATTTAGTCTCAGTTGACCCTTTAAATGTTTGTAAAAGTATAAGGGACGATGCTATATAGCAAAAGGTATTCATAGTTAATAGTAGCATAATCAGATACATTTCTCAAAACTTTTGGAAAGTGATAAAACTGAAGTAGTCACTGACCGGTTGCCCAGAAGCTTATGCAATCTGATGATAAGATCCTTTTCGTCTTCTGACATACTACCACGTTTTATGTTTGGTCTCAGGTAATTCTTCCATCTCAGCCTGCAGCTCTTGGCACCCCTCGTCAAACCTAGAAGGGAGAGGGAGGGGGAGAGAGAGAAGTTAAATAGTTATCTAGTAGACAGTTTGTATCTTGAAAAGAGGGATGGTGCATGGTGATTTACCTGACTTGTGAGAAACAGCTGCCCAGTTACCTTCTCCATGAGTCTCCACATACTTCTTCAAAATCAAGTCCTCTTCTGGTTTCCACAAGCCTTTGGTCAACTGGGGCTTCACTTCCTTAGTCCCCATCTCTCTCTCTCTCTCTCTCTCTCTCTCTCTCTCTCTCTCTCTCTCTCTCTCTCCCTGTAGATCTAGAGTCTGTAGTGAAGAAGGAATGGAAATAGATGATTATATATATAAGCAAGAGCTATGGGATGTCCAAGTAGTAAAGTTTGAGTCGCTCGTGCATGGATTAGACCATTGTGATTTCTGCTAAAGCTTGACGTACGTGAGGGCCCTATAAACGAATAATTCTCCACTCTTAGCTTTTTCTTGGCATTTCCTTTCCGAGGGAGGGAGGGAACAATTATATGACTCGAGGCCACCTCTGAACTATCCATAGTATAGAGACAACACTAATTTGAACTATCCATAGTATAGAGACAACACTAATTTGATAATGTTTCTTTATTTTTAATTATTTCTTTTAGTAGAATTTGTAGTGTTTTTGTTCTAATTTTTTTATTCAGGTTTTTTTCATTCTTCCAAGCTATTAATCTCAAGAAAATGTTACACAATGCAAAGAAAACCTAAAAAATACAACTTAAATGTATATCATTTCTTAAATGAATGTTGGATGAGTGGGTTTCACTATAAAGTTGAAAGAATTCACTCATTCAATAGATGATATGCATTTATATTACAATTTTTTCGATTTCATTTGAATTCTGTAACATTACTTTTAATCGTATAATCCTCAAGACCCAACTCAAGTTGGAATGAGGATTCCAATTCTTCGTGGAGCAGACTAGTCGTCATATATGAGTGTGTTATCGGTGCCGGCTCAATAAAATTTGGGGCCCTAAGAGAAAACGTTAAACGGGATCTTTACAAACATGTTGTAAATATATATTTTATTTTATAGTTATGCCAATTTTTTCAATGAAGAAAGATGATTTATACTACTTTATGACTGCTATTTTCTAATGCATTATGAACTTAAAATCATATGAATGAGAGAGATTAAAAGAGTATGTGTGTGTGAGAGAGATGTAGACACGATTTGTTTATGTAAATGTATTTGTATATGTCCTAATTATGGGGAGTGATTGAATTGACAACAAACAAAGAGAGAATGTGTGATTTTTTAGGTAAGTGATGTCAAATGTGACCATGAGTTGGTGGACTAGTGTAAAATTTATTAAAAAAATAAGAGAGATAATCAAATTTGTTTCTTCTGGACTCTTATTCTATAATATTCTTAAGTCAAATTGACTCATATTATAAAGACTAAAATATAATTTTGGGTCTCTCATTTTTTGGGGGGTCCTAAGCAAACATTTTATTTGGTAAAAATTGAGGTTGAATTCCCCTAGATGAACTTATAATGATTTGAGTTTTGAAAGAAAACTTATTTTGGGGTAAGTCTAAATTTAAACTTTAATGTAGGTATTTAAGTCAACTTATTTTTTAAATTTCAAAATTACTCCTAACGGTGTTAATTTTGTTCAGTTATGGAAGGTCGCATATATTAGATTATTGAGGTATATATGGAAACTCTTGATTGAGTTATATATGGAAACCGTTTATTAAATATTATGATAATTAACGGAATTGTTATATGGAAGTTATATATTCTAATTGTTATATATGGGAAGCTTAATGTATGAATATATTGTTGGTCTATTAAATCAAAATCAGATCACAAAATTTTTTGAACAACAGTAATATTTATATATAGGGAGGTTGAACAATGCTAATAGAGTTCAATAATATGTATATTAATATATAGTAACATTCATCTTACTATATGATTGAAGTTACAATTAGGATCATGTTACTAGTACAGTCGTGTTACTATACTAACACTAATATTACTATAGTGAATTTTAACATACAATTGCAAGCCTTAAGACGTATATTATGTAATATGCATTTTAATATTCACAATAACATCAAAACTTTGCGTTCAATAACACATCTAATTTAACAAAATATAAGACAATAATTTTTTGTACAGTGTCATTAACTTCTGAATGATTTCAGTGAAAATACAATCCACAAATTAAAATTTTACAAAATGACAAGTAGTAACACTCAATTGACAGTTGAATTACGACACTCAACACCAATTGTGAACATCAAGATATCGAAATTTTGAACTCTATTTTTCAGTTCACGTATAATAACATAAACTTTTTCCACAATAATATAACCAAGAAATACTCGATTGTCTTGCGCAACAAAAAAAACAACAAAGTCAAAATCTATAACACTGTAATTTAATACTAATGTATGAGTTCTCTTTAATTTTGGTTACAAGGTTAATGCCCACTTTAACAGAATTAAATCCCTAATTATTATTACTTTTTTACCATGTTATTATTTTTTTGTGAACATGTTACTATTTTTTTTAGTGATCATGTTACTGTTTTTGTTGAGTATGTTACTATTATTTTTTCTTAAATATTAATATTTTGTTAATTGAGTCCAAAGTAAACTGGGATATAGTAAATTGAAATGTATTTTATGGAATGTAATGAGTTTGAAATTTGAATATGAACGATTTTTGGTAAATGTCGGTTTCTTATTTTTTGGATAAGGAAGGCGATTATGAAGAAGATGTATATAGCTAGTTATTGTGTCCATAAACATCGTTTATAACATTTTTACAAGGAAGTGGTACAATAGTAAAATTGACAAAAAAATAAATTTAAAATCAAATAAATTTTTTTGACAGACTTATCTCTAAATAAATCTATATAGGGGGGTCAACCTCCAAATTTTTCTTTTATTTGTTTACTAGGGGTAGCCCGTATCTAAAAGTACGGTGCAATGTAATTGATTTTGAGAAGGATGTTGGATGAGAATTAGATAAGTTTATTTAAAATTATCGGATGAACTTATTAAAATCTACCCTATTTTATATTATAGATTATAGATGGTGTCAGTTGGCCCGGTGGTTTATTTACATATTGCTACCCAGCAAGTATTTCATTTTTATGAATTATGAATTAATCACATTTTTTATATTTTAGACAAAGTTACTTTTTTAATTTATTCAAAAAGATTTATTTAAACGTACATCTTTACTAATAAGATAGGACTCATTTTGAATCTTTTTCTACTTTAAAATTTAATTTATTTGGAAAAGCATAAGAACGGCTCAGATTAAATCAACTTTTAATTCAAAGGCCCACATTTTCATCTCATTTCTTCCATTTCAATCCAATGGCTTGCAATGCATCTCAACCCAAAAAAAAAATCCCGCCCATTTTGAACCCAAACACACGCCACCCCCAATTAAACCCTCTGCCCCTCTCTCTCTCTCTCTCCAATCTGCCATATTGCTGCCAGATTGTAAGTCCCCTATATTGCTGTACATTTTCCCCTATATTGCTATATAAAACACATAAGTCTCCTATACTGCTATGCATTTTCCCCTTAAAATCATCACATCACTCATTTCTATTACATGTTCAACCATTTAATATTTGATTAATTTATAATTTAACATAATTTTGTTAAAAAAATTTATCGAATTTCATATTTCGAGAAAATTTTGTCAATATCTTTAAAAAAATAATGGGTAAAAATAAATTTTGAATGATTTAATCAAATAAATAAATGAAAGAAAAATTATTATTTAATATAGGATATAGATTTTTTAAGACTCAAATTTTTTGTTCTATCGTGCCTTCAGGCACGGGTAATGACTAGTTAATAAATAAAAGACAGTGTAGTACACAAAACTTTCAATACTGGTAGATTTAAAAACAATTAGATATACATGTTATTATTCTACATAAAAAAAGAGATTATTTTTTAGACCGGAATATATTATACTCGGTTCACAATAAAAATAAATAAATAAATAAATAATTCAGGTTATGAGAAAATCATATGGAATAAATATGATTCACGGGATGGATGGTTTGTTTTGTTTGCAAGTACGAGTTCAAGATACACATCTTATGGGTGGGCCTTTTTGGTTTCAGATTTGGGCGATCCATCGACGTCACTACTACTTTCTTGAAACCCCACGATTGCTTTTGAGGGAATAGCCTCGGGATTCTCAAAAGTAATTCAGCATTACGGTCTGAATCCAACAAGTTGCGTTAACAGCCTTTAACGGTGGTTTACCGATTGAGTTTCTGATAACTCATTTGACTTATAATAATTAGAGGTTTTAAGTTTAACTTTTCTGGTACTCTCTAATGTCTAATCATTTTATGAAATCTGTTTGAGTTACGGTGGTCAATATTTAAATTTGAAAATATAATTGACATAAATGTAAACACTCTATAAAAAAAATAAAAATAATTTGCGTTAATGATATTGAAAGTGGTCCGGTTCGACTTTGGTACTAAACATTTATTTTTTTTGGTACCATATTTTTATTTTTATTTTTTAACATTATCGTAACATGTCGTACTTTATTATTTTATTTTATTTATAATTAATGACTCCAAATATATGAAATCAAGATATTTAGCTACTGGTCACTTTTAATAGTACTTTTAGTCCCTTAAGTATGTTTCTTTTATCAGTTTAATACTTATTATATTAATTTTGTCAAATTGATTTCTAAAGTTTTAATTTGTGTTATTTTGGCTCCAAATTAGACAATTCGTTAAGTTTTTTGACGGAAGTTGTTATATGTCCCTCTTTCAAATGGTATCATGTGACCAACAACTAATTATTCCGTAAAAATTTTAACGACCCATCAGTGTAGACTATTTAAAAATGAATTAAATATTTTAAGGACCAAATTGACAAAACCTACATATTTTAAATATCAAAAATACTATTAATCATAAAAATTATATACATATTTTAAGGGTATAAATTATACATTACCCTAAATTTTAACATAAAAAGACAAAAAACACAACACACACAGCCCATTACTCAGTGTACTTGTCACTCTTGTGATCTTCCTAGCTATCGGGCACCCACTACTACCTCTGCAATTGGTTTAGGTTGCCAGCTCAAAAAGTGAAAGAGGGTAAGTTGAGTGTTGGAACAGGGACAAAGGTGTTTGGCATGAGGATCATAGGCACAATTATTCTTTTTTCCAGTCATTATCACCTTGTAAAAGTT